ACTCAGAATCTGCAGCAACGAATTCCTTGAGGAAGAATGCACTATAAATTTTAACAAGTATTTTCCAAACCCACTATCCCCGTCACTTCATCAGAGACGCAGACGCGAGCATTAAACATCTTCAACACACCCAGAGAAGACACTGCCGAGAAGAGATACATAGTCCTTCCCACCAACTCCATTGCCAAACATGTTTCCAACATCTTTGCCAAAACATCATTCCAAGTATCCCACCTCCACAACCACGACCATCAAGGACATCACCAGTATAGACAGGACAAGCCTCCATCCTCTGCAGGGGTATACATAATCCCTTGTAATGACTGCAACAAATTAAATTGGGCGAAACATCAAGAGACCTCCAAACACGATTTTAGAACACCAATATGCAAGCAGGACGATGATACAAAGGGAAAGCCTGTGTTCAACATCGCAATTCACAGAACCATTTAAATTAACTACAGAAACTCAAGACTTATAGCCACAGAAGACAACACTCAATAAAAGAAAATCCTGGAATCATCGTTTATCGCTATAAACCCAAAAATTTCAACCAGAACAAATTGGGTTCTATAACATGCTGAACCCCTCGCCAAGAAACTTCTTCATCGCTATCCCACATAAGAACATAGAACACTGCAGAAGGTCTACTCACAACTTGTCCAATATCCCCGCCTAGCTACCCAAGACTCTATAACCCCACCCGGTAGATCATCAGATGCAGCATTCTCCACCTGACCTCAACATTCTGAACTATAAATACTCCCGTACCTTCCAACCCCAGGTAGATCCGTGTGTGACTTGAAAAAGCCCACTGTGTGGGTGAAACGTTGTCAATAAAGGATCACATTATACTGCATTTGTGTTTATATTTCCAAGATTCTTAATATCAGAGCATAAGTCAATATATCCATACTCATTATTAATCATTTCTAAACCCATACCTCTAACTAATCCTAGTTTAAAGTCCTAACAACCCCCTCAACTGAGTTAGCAAGAAAACCCACACCTGCCCTGGATAAGTGAACCCCATCCCTGGCATACATGTCATTTCGGCCATAGAAGTTGTCCCAGTTGTCAATGAATGGTACTGCATTATCCTTACAGTGTTTATCCAGCCAACAATTAATACCAACTGCTCTGGACAACCATTCATTACCAACACCTCTTCCTGGCAAAATGCCACATATAACAGGGCACCCCCCCTTCTTCCTAATCATGTCTATAGCTGTCCTGAACTTTCTAACTAAATCCTCACTTCTACGCTTGCCTACATCATTGCCTCCAGCACTGAGGCAAATAATAGGATTGATCCCATTACCGTTCATGATGTTGTCAAGCCGGCTAACAATGTCCTCCATCCCAGCCCCAGGAAAGCATACCCTCTGTCTCCTACTCCTGTCCTTCAAGCAGAATGCCCTATCCATGTATCTAACCTGGCTATCCCCAACAACAACAATATTCTTACCTTCCTTGTTGTCGTTCGTCGTGACGATCCTAGTAGTCGACTCACATTCGTCGGGTAGCTCCGAGAATGCGTTGGAGGTTTCCACAGGAGTTTCCACAGCAGTCTCTTTCTTCTTCATCGTTTCTGGCTTTCCATTCGTCTTCTTGATCGTCAACTTCGTCGTCCCCTGCTGTCCAGCCACTGACCACGATCCCTTCTTGACCTGAGGACTCGAAACAGGAGGACTACTACGAATCCTCTTGTTTTCCTTGGTCAATCGCCGTATTTCCATCTTCGCTGCCCTCAATTCTTCCTTAAGTTGCTGGTAAAGTTGCTCGATGGAGGGCATCTTGGTTCAGTCCACGGGGAGCACACAAGACACTTCTTCACAGAGTTAAGTACAGGTCACCACTGAGTTAAGTACAGGTCACCACTGAGTTAAGTACAGGTCACCACTCAAGTTCTTCAAGTTTCTCCTACATATGGACTGATGAAGCCACTGTGTGGCGAAACGTTTCCTCAATAATGATACCCAAGAGTTGCTCATGTGTCTAATTTATCAACATGTCCGTTCTCTGAACCATTCATCTACAAATCCTATCCTTCAAGCAGAATGCCCTATCCATGTACCTAATCTGGCTATCCCCAACAACAACAATGTTTTTACCTTCCTTGGCATCGTCCGTCGTGATGCTCCGAGTAGTCGACTCACATTCGCCAGGTAGCATTACACCACTTGTAGAATTCGTCAAGACGTTCTGGATGGTCTTCGTTGGGGTTTCTAGGGATGTCTCACTCACGTCTGCCATTGCTTCTTTGGTGCTCGTTGTGGCATTCCCAGTAGAACACTCACATTCGTCGGGTAGCACCGAGAATGGGTTGGAAGTTTCCACGGTAGTCTTCTGGTTTCTCGTTGTTTCTGCCTCTCCAACCGTTTTCTTGATCTTCAGCTTGGTTCCATGTTGCCCGGCCACTGTGTGGCGAAACGTTTCCTCAATAATGATACCCAAGAGTTGCTCATGTGTCTAATTTATCAACATGTTGGTTCTCTGAACCATTCATCTACAAATCCTATCCTTCAAGCAGAATGCCCTATCCATGTACCTAATCTGGCTATCCCCAACAACAACAATGTTTTTACCTTCCTTGGCGTCGTCCGTCGTGATTCTCCGAGTAGTCGACTCACATTCGCCAGGTAGCATTACACCACTTGTAGAATTCGTCAAGACGTTCTGGATGGTCTTCGTTGGGGTTTCTAGGGATGTCTCAATCACATCTGCCATTGCTTCTTTGGTGCTCGTTGTGGCATTCCCAGTAGAACACTCACATTCGTCGGGTAGCACCGAGAATGGGTTGGAAGTTTCCACGGTAGTCTTCTGGTTTCTCGTTGTTTCTGCCTCTCCAACCGTTTTCTTGATCTTCAGCTTGGTTCCATGTTGCCCGGCCACTGACCAAGCTTCCCTCTTAACCTGGGGACTCACAACAGGAGGATTACTACGAATCCTCTTGTTCTCCTCCGTTAATCGCCGTATCTCCATCTTAGCAACTCTGAGCTCTTCTCTCAGCTGCTGGTAAAGTTGCTCAAGAGAGGGCATCCTGGTTCAGATTCACAGAGAGCACACAAACAGGTCTTCACAGAGCTAAGTACACGTCACCACCAGAGAAGACACTGCCGAGAAGAGATACATAGTCCTCCCCACCAACTCCATTGCCAAACACGTTTCCAACATCTTTTCCAATACCTCATTTCAAGTATCTACCTCCACAACCACGACCATCAAGGACATTACCAGTGATAGACAGGGCAAGCTTCCACCCTCTGCAGGGGTATACATAATCCCTTGTAATGACTGCAACAAGTTATACGTGGGCGAAACATCAAGGGACCTCCAAACACGTATTTCAGAACACCAATACGCAAGCAGGTCTGACGACACAAGGAATGCCTGCGTACAACACCGTAATTCACACAACCACTTGATAAACTACAGAAACTCAAGACTTATCGCCACAGAAGACAACACTCAATACCGAAGAATCCTGGAATCATCACTTATTTCTATATCCGACAACTTCAACCAGAATAGTGGCTTCTATAACATAGCTGAACCACTTGCCAAGAAACTTCTTCATCGCTATCCCACATAAGAACACTGTAGAAGGTCTGCTCACAAACTTATCCAATCTCCTTTCCAAGCTACCCAAGTTTTTAGACTCTATAACCTCACTCGGTACATCATCAGATGCAGCATTCTCCACGTGACCTCAGCATTCTGAACCGGACTATAAATACTCGCGTTCCTTCCACCCCAGGTAGTTCTGTTTGTGACTTGAAAAAGTCCACTGTGTGGGCGAAACGTAGTCAATAAAGGATCACATTATACTGCATATGTGTTTATATTTCCATTGTGTCGGTATTTTATACCATTTATTTCCAACGGGGTAATAGAGGCTAGGACCTTGGGTAGAACATAAGAACATAAGAAAGGAGGAACACTGCAGCAGGCCTGTTGGCCCATACTAGGCAGGTCCTTTACAATTCATCCCACTAACAAACATTTGACCAACCCAATTTTCAATGCCACCCAAGAAACAAGCTCCGATGTGCAAGTCCCTCTCAAATCCAACCCCTCCCACTCATGTACTTATCCAACCTAAATTTGAAACTACCCAAAGTCCTAGCCTCAATAACCCAACTAGGTAGACTGTTCCACTCATCAACTACCCTATTTCCAAACCAATACTTTCCTATGTCCTTTCTAAATCTAAACTTATCTAATTTAAATCCATTACTGCAGGTTCTCTCTTGGAGAGATATCCTCAAGACCTTGTTAATATCCCCTTTATTAATACCTATCTTCCACTTATACACTTCGATCAGGTCTCCCCTCATTCTTCGTCTAACAAGTGAATGTAACTTAAGAGTCTTCAATCTTTCTTCATAAGGAAGATTTCTAATGCTATGTATTAATTTAGTCATCCTACGCTGAATGTTTTCTAACGAATTTATGTCCATTCTGTAATATGGAGACCAGAATTGAGCTGCATAATCTAGGTGAGGCCTTACTAATGATGTATAAAGCTGCAGTATGACCTCTGGACTTCTGTTGCTTACACTTCTTGATATAAATCCCAGTAATCTATTTGCCTTATTACGTACGCTTAGGCATTGCTGTCTTTAAGAAGAGACTGGACAGATGTGATGAATGGTTTGAAAAACCGACAAGTTTCCTGAATAAAGATTCCCATATGCTGCATAAGTGTCTCAATCTTCAGACTGGACAGATATATGAGTGGGAGGGGCTGGGTTTGATTGGTGTCATGGGGTACGGGAGTTATTTCTTGGGTAGCTTTAGGTAGAGGTCGTTTTGATAAGGACCTGCCTCGTATGGGCCAGTAGGCCTTCTGCAGTGTTCCTACATTCTTATGTTCTTATTATTCCTGGATATATATATATGTTGTGATGAAAGAAAAGAAGTAAAGAAGAGAATAAAAATTGACTATATTGATCCTCACCTCCAACACCACTACCTCACCTATAACACCAGCTTACCTCCATCTCCATGACCTGCCTCTCAAGCTTCCTACACTTCTCCTCCACAGAGGCCATCCTGGTATCCTTCAGCGTCTCCAAGAAGCTCAACTTACTGCCCACCGCCTCCTCCTCAGCCTTCATGTATAACCTGAAAAATAAGGTCACACTGAGGCCACAATGTTACAATAAGGTCAGTGGGTCACAACTGTCATACCGAAGCCACAAAAATAACCTGACTTGTACACTCTCATCACATTAGAAACCCAGAAAGGAAACTTTTTGAAGCTGACTTGTAACTCTTATCATCACAGTGAAAACTTCAGTACAGGATTAAGCAATATCGCGAGGAAAACAATGGGCGTTATTTAAGATAGATTAGGTTGAGTTACGTTATCATCACACTGTGGGTCAGTAAATACATGCGCATAGAGTACAAAAATGGTAGCACTCTAACACAGGTGGTACAAACAAGATGGTAGCACTAGCACAAATGCTCCAAAAAGCTCACCTGAGTTTTTCCTCAAGGACAGCAATGTGAAAGTCTCTTTGCTTGAGCGCCTGACGAGCGTGGGAGAGCTGAGTCTCCATGGCCACCAGACGAGTCATCAACAAGGCTACAAGCTCCCTCTCACTGGTCTGGCCGCCCCCGCCCTCGCCCAAACCTCCAGTGCCGCCCTCACCGCCACCCACGCCTCCTACACTACCATCTATTGACAGAAAGGTGTTAGGCTGCTCTTCTTTACACACTCACACTATATACATGTTCAGACTTCACCACATTTGACTGACCTTTGGAAGCAGTGTCACGAGTTTTGTGTTCCCTGCTGCTGCGATGCTTGTAGTGTACCCTGTGTACGGGTGAGGTGGAGGGCATGATATCAGCAGGCAGGGAACCAGTGTTCATAGCGTGTTGTGGTGGTGCAGCATGCAGCAATGGATCAGAACCACAGCGGGCCAGAGGCGGGAACCCTTCCGCTCGTAGCCTCTGTCCAGGAGATATGAACATATCACAGGGGATAGGCAGGATAAAAACACCCTTATATCTCACTCTCGTTAAGCTTAGATCAATATTTAAAACTGGCAATAAAAACACCCTTATCTCTCACTCTCGTTAAGCTTAGATCGATATTTAAAACTGGCATTCCACAATAACGTGACAGTGTTTATGAAAATACAATTAATAAAGTTGATGGGGGTGTAGAACACTGCACAAGAACACTTAGTGCAGGTTTCTAACACTAGTTGTAATACCATTACTTCTAGTATTTATATACCTAACACGTTAGCAATATTTCAAACGTAACAAAAAAAAAAGCTAAAAAATGTTCTCATTAACCGAGGTGCCTGTTATAACCAGTAGCAAATACTGGTGATACTGTAGGAAGTACTGTTAATATTGTACCAAGTACTGTTGATACTGTACCAAGCACTGTTGATACGGTACCAAGTACTGTTGATACTGTACCATGTACTGTTGATACTGTACTAAGTACTGTTGATACTGTACCAAGTACTGTTGATATTGTACCAAGTACAGTTGATATTGTACCAAGTACTGGTGACATTACACCAAGTACTGGTGATATAGTACCAAGTACTGGTAAAATTGCAAGCAGTGGTCACGTGTGGACATACCTGTCCTGAGATGTCTGGGTATTAGCGTGGGGTGTTACCAAGCACCATGGCTTCTTGTAGTGTTTTAGAATCTCACGTTAAAGTGTTGAAGTAGGAGGTTCTATTTCTTCAGGAGGAAAATAGGAGGTTGAAGCTTCGCCTAGATGTGTTTGGGAGTGAATGTGAGATAGCTGGTGCTGGAAAGGAGAAAATGCTTACCACCAGTGAGAGTGGCAGCCGCTTTAAGTGGCAAGTGGTTCACAGTTCAGGAAGAAGGAAGATAAGGAGGGTTAATAAAGATGTGAAGGTAGGAAAAATCGATTCTCTGTTCTCCAAGACGAGTGTACTTCAGTGGTTAGTGAGGTTAAAGGTACCTCTGACTCCCCTGCTAATCACGGTAAGAATATTCTGATTGTGGGAGACTCTCAGGTAAGATATATGGACCATGCTTTTTGTAACAGAGATAGAAAAGTCAGACAGAGAGTGTGCCTCCCAGGAGCTGGTGTTGGTGATATAGTCAGCAGGTTGGATAATATTACGTTAGGTAATGGGGACAAGCCATTATCTGTCTTAGTGCTAGTGGAAATGACAGCGGGAAGGGCAGGAGACAGGAGCTACTGGATAAGTACAGGTCAGCCATAGAAGTAGTCAGGTCTAAGGGAGGGATCCCTATCATATGTAGCATCTTGCCTTGAACGGGAGTAGGCAGTGAATGGATGTCTAGGGCAATTGGCATAAATTGCTGGCTAGACAGGTACTGCAAGGAACTTGCAATCCCATTCATCGATAACTGGGACAAATTCTATGGCAAACATGATATGTATACAAGGGATGGGGTTCATCTCTCTGGGGTTGGAGTGGTTGCATTAGCCAATTCGATTGAGGGGGTCATTGATGACTTGTCTAGGACTTTAAACTGATAGATTATAGAGGTATAGGCGTTTGTGGGAAACAATCAGGCTGCAGTATTATTGTTGGAAACAGCAGATATTACCAGGATACCTCAGGGATATGTTTCAAAGACAACATTCAAAATAAAGATCCTAATAAAGGCATAGCAGCTGATCAACAAACAAAGAGAAATAGTAGAGGGCAACGAGTGACTAGCTCCCTTAAGGTTTACTATACAAATAGTAGGAATCTAAGAAATAAGATAGATGAGCTAAGATTACTCGCAAGTGCAGGTAATATAGATATTATTGTTATAACTGATACCTGGTTCAGCCTGAAGGATAGAGAAATGCTTTCTGAGTGCAGCATAAAGGGTTATAAACTATTCCACACTGACAGGGTCAATAGGAAGGGTGGTGAAGTGGCGATGTATTTCGGAGATAATTTCAACTGTTGTGTTAGACATGATATAAGAATAGAAACGTCGGACACAGAATCTGTTTGGCTACAGTTTCTCGAGGGGTAGGAAAAATAATTTTGGGTGTGATATATAGGCCCCCAAACCTTGATAGGGAGTGCAGTAAGCTGCTATGGGACGATATTCATAAGGCGTCTAGATATGAAAATGTTGTGTTAATGGGAGATTTTAACTTTAGACAAATTGATTGGAACAATTTGACAGGAAATCTTGAGTCTAGTGACTTTCTTGATACAGTTCAGGATTGCTTTTTAAAACAGTTTGCGACAGAACCAACTAAAGGAAACAATCTGCTTGACTTGGTTCTTGCCAACAAAGATTTACTAATTAATAATCTTGAGGTTAATGATGAGCTTGGGGAATGTGATCACAAATCACTAATTGCAATCAAGTCTCTGTTCCAGACTTTCGACTGGCTGATTTCATGGAACTGAAAAATTACCTGAGTGGGCTAAATTAGGATGATCTGACTATAGGTCAGGTAGCTGGTGTTGGTTGCCAATATGACGTTTTTCAGAGCACAGTACTTGCTGCTCAGTCAACTTTTGTTCCGAGCAGGGAAATTAGATCTAACAAAAATGATCCCAAATGGATGAACAATAGATTAAAACATCTCACTGGTCAAAAGAGAGGCATATATAGGCGTATCAGAAAAGGGGATGGGCAGTTAAGAAATCAATATATTCAATTAAAGAGAGAAATAAAAAAAAAGAATAAGAAAAGCAAAAAGGGATTATGAGGCTAAGGGCGCAAGGGATTCGAAGACTAACCCAAAAGGGTTCTTTCAGGCATACAGAAGTAAGATTAGAGACAAGATAGGCCCACTTAAGAGTAGCTCAGGTCAGATCACTGACAGAGATAGGAATATGTGTGAAATTTTCAATTCTTACTTCCTCTCAGTTTTTACTCAGGAAGATACTAGCGAAATTCAAGAAATAATAAATTATGTAGAACACGACGATAATAAACTACGCACGATTGCAGTAACTAGTGACATGATCCTTAGACAAATAGAGAAATTAAAACCTAACAAATCCCCAGGCCCTGAAGAATTGTTTACAAGGGTTTTAAAGGAATGTAAAGAGGAACTTTGCAAACCTTTGGCTAATCTTTTCAACATATCACTACAAACTGGCATAGTGCCTGATAAGTGGAAAATGGCAAATGTAATACCTATTTACAAGGCAGGTGACAGGTCCTTGGCTTCGAACTATAGACCAATAAGCCTTACCTCCATAGTGGGAAAATTTATGGAATCAATAATTGCCGAGGCAATTCGTAGCCATCTTGATAGAGACAATTTGATAAATGAATCTCAACACGGTTTTACTAAGAGGCATTCCTGTCTTACGAATTTACTAACTTTTTCACTAAGGTGTTTGAGGAGGTAGATCAAGGTAATGATTATGATGTTGTGTATATGGACTTCAGTAAGGCTTTCGATAGAGTTCCACATCAAAGACTTTTGAGGAAACTTAAGGCACACGGAATAGGAGGAGAATTTTTTTCCTGGGTAGAGGCGTTTTTGACAAATAGGCAGCAGAGAGTTTGCATAAATAGGGAGAAATCAGAATGGGGGCACGTCACAAGCGGTGTTCCACAGGGGTCAGTGTTGGGACCCTTGTTGTTCACAATTTACAAAAACGATATAGATGAGGGAATAAATAGCGACATAAGCAAATTTGCCGATGACACCAAAATAGGCCGTCCAATTCATTATATTGAGGACATTAGTGCACTCCAGGATGATTTGAATAGACTGATGCAGTGGTCGGAGAAGTGGCAGATGCAGTTTAATATAGACAAATGCCACTTATAAACTGAATAGTGTAGATCTTAATACTACTGACTGCGAAAAGGATTTAGGAGTTCTGGTTAGAAGTAATCTGAAGCCAAGACAACGGTGCATAAGTACTTAGTTCGCAATAAAGCTAACAGAATCCTTGGCTTCATATCAAGAAGTATAAATAATAGAAGTCCTCAGGTTGTTCTTCAACTCTATATATCCTTGGTTAGGCCTCATTTAGATTATTCTGTAATAATGTTGGTAAAATTACAGACAATATGTAAAGTAAAAGGACAAAAGTGCAACTAATGTGACATTTTATTGTGGCAACGTTTCGCTCTCCAGGAGCTTTGTCAAGCCGTTACAAACAGTACATGGACACAGAGGGTATATATAGGCTTGTTTGTAACGGCTTGACAAAGCTCCTGGAGAGCGAAACGTTGCCACAATAAAATGTCACATTAGTTGCACTTGTGTCCTTTTACTTTAGATTATGCTGCACAGTTCTGGCCACCATATTACAGAATGGATACAAATGCACTGGAAAACGTACAGAGGAGGATGACAAAGTTGATCCCATGTATCAGAAATCTTCCCTTCAAGTTGGAAAAGTTCAGATTCAGGAAGGACATAGGAAAGCACTGGTTTGGTAATAGAGTTGTGGATGAGTGGAACAAACTCCTTAGTACCGTCATAGAAGCTAAGACCTTGTGTAGTTTTAAAAATAGGTTGGATAAATACATGTGTGGGTGTGGGTGGGTGTGAGTTGGACCTGACTAGCTTGGGCTACCAGGTCTAGTGCCGTGCTCCTTCCTTAAGTGGAAGTGACCTGACTAGGTGGTCATTGTCCAAGGCCGGGGGGTGGCACGGACCTGCTTCGTATGGGTCATTAGGCCTGTTGCAGTGTTCCTTCTTTCTTATGTTCTTATGTACTGTACCAAGTACAGGTGATATCGTACTCCTTAAGTCATCTGACAGCTTCAGTCAGGATACTCATCAGTAGTATTGTTCTTAATCACTTCTTGGGTCAACTGACAGCTTCGGTCAAGCTGGTCATTAGTCCAGCTTCATATAACGTACAGTGACACTAGTTAAACATGACATGCTCCAACCGTAGAATTTTTTACACTAGACATTGCTCTCCGAGAGAAAAGAACAATGTACGCACTAGTGCTGATATTTCAGGTCTGCAACACAAGAGATGAAGGTATTAGCAAGTGAGGCAGATAGTTATGTAAGGGAAGGGTACCAGTGTCCCTCACTTTACACGATAATGCAACAACACTGTCATTTCCTCTATCAAGATGGAAGGAATCTAATTTTGAAAGGGGAAAAGGGAAGGAGGTTATATTTTGCAGAGTATGGGAGAGGTCGGGAAATTGCTTTTGAACATCGAAAAGGAGGGAGAGAAGCTATTAAAATTTTTACTAAATTGCCCGGGCGTCACCTAAGAAAAAATAGCAGCCGTTATATTGCAGGTCAGATCATGAAACGCTAAACCCATGTGAGTCATTTAGTACAAGAAGTAGAGCAGGTTCGATCCTCGACATCAAGTTAGTGGTCAAGAAGTAAGAAGAACAACCTAACTTACCTAATGTGAGCCATAGCTCCTGGCCTGGCTCATGCTAGCTTCCTTAATAACAAGACAGGCTTATACCTCACTTGAGAAGAGAGCATAGAGGAGGATGTCTCAACTACCTCACACGAGATGAGACGAGAACGACACCTCTGTTGTGACACATGGATGGTAGTAGAGGATAATAGAGTCGCCTGGATGGTAGCAGAGGATAGTAGACTCACCTGGATGGTTGTAGAGGATAGTAGACTCGCCTGGATGGTGGAAGAGGAGAGTAGACTCATCTGGATGGTAGTAGACTCACCTGGATGGCGGAAGAAGATAACAGACTCACCTGGATGGTGGTAGAGGATAGTGGATTTACCAGGATGGTGGTAGAAGATAGTGGATCGACCTGGATGGAGGTAGAGGATAGTAAACTCACCTGGATGGTGGCGAGACTTGCCTGCATAGTGGTAAAGGATAGCTGGCTCACCTGGATGGTGGGGGAGAGAATGGGAGAGGAACATCCCGAGTGAGGACGGGAGCTAGAGCGTTTGGACGCCACTGAGCTGGTAGACTTGTAGGACCTAGCAATGTCAGTCAGTTGACGGATCTGGTCATCAGAGAAGTCAGGATGTCGGAACGGCAGGGTGCGCTTACTGCAATATAAACACAAGAACGTTACTTTATGTTATGCTATGAGAACCTCACTCTCCACTCTATGTGATGTTATATAAGTGAACCTAACTCTCCACTCTATATGATGTTATATATATGACCTTTACTCTCCACTCTATGTGATGTTAATGTGAACCTCAGAAAAATGTGCACCAGTTGCCAGCTGTTCTACGAGGTTGTTAAATGTCAGAGAGCATCACTTCCAGACTTCACACCTGGTGAGTTACATGCTTAATAATATCTCTCCCTACATTGGAAAGGATATCACAGGATACAAAGTCTTCATGTGTACCATTCAAACCAGGAAAAAGGTTTTGCCATGGCTATGAATACTGGCTTTTCGAACCCAGCCAAGAAACACTGGGCCAACTCATTACCAACTGATAATGCTTGTTCTCATGAGCAAGAATCCTCTGTGTACAGTTACTTCAGAAGAACTGAAGAAGCTGTACGAGGCTCTGAGACATGTTAAGGGAGTATTGTTCTCTGTACAGTACCCCACAAGTTTGCTCGGATCACCCACCAACAACTGTTGCAATTACTGCAACCTCAATGCACTTCCGCTAACTTTGGATATTTTTAAGACTGACTTATTATGTCTCATTCTGTTTCAAGAGATGGCCACAGGTGTTTGTGTTGTACACACAGTCAATGTTAGAATCATAAAGGCTGCAGGAGAATTTGTTTTCAAACTAATTTTCAATGTTCTAGAAGTCCCCCAACGTATTTTTTGTACCACATCATCCCAGGTAAACTCCAGGTAAACATGGTATTATGTATATCTCTGCGCTGCTAGTAGAAGCTCTCTTATGTTTCTGCGCCAAGTTTCCGATAAATGACGAAGAGCTGGTAGTTACCTTAATGAGATGATTATTAAGACGTTGCACATGTGCCTAATTTTCATTTTGTCGGTATTGTATGTACAATTTGTCAGGCACTGCAACATCATGGAAGCTTGATTCAGAGGACATCTCTACAACCTTCACTACTACTGGCCTGTCTCTCGGGTATAACCTACTTCCTCTTGGGAATCCCGCCTACCAGTAACAATGTCTTCGTCTGCTACCCGTCCCTTACCACCTGACACCAGAATATAAGCGCCAACCTTCTTGTCTGTGACTGATTACCTCATCTTTTGTATATAGTTCTACTGTCCTCCATTTATGTCTTTGAATTTGTACTTATAAAGTCACTGGATGGCGAAACGTCTACAATAACGATACCCAGATGTTGCACATGTATCTAATTTTCATTATGATTATTAAGGTTAGCCACGACAGATACCCCGTTGCTAACAGGCAGAACTATGTATCTGACAGTTTCCTGTACTGATGTCTCCCTCCCTCCCTCCTTCCTTCCTTCCCTCCCTCCCTCCCCACTACTTGCTGCCCCGTTGCTAAGCAACCACTTTCCAGCCTCCCCCTCTTGTCTTATAACTACACAGCCAATCACGTCAACCTTTCCACTGGAGTTCACTGAGTACAGGTATCCTTTAGCTCTCTTCATGTTCCTTACACTCAGGTGATGTGTGCAGTATACTGTTCCTTACACCCGGATGATATACGAGGTATACTGTTCCTTACACTCGGGTAATATATAAAGTATACTGTTCCCGACATTCAGGTTTCATGTGTAGAATTCTGTTCCTGATATCCAGGTGTTATGTGTAGAATATTGTTCCTAACATTCAGGTGTTGTGTGTAGTATCCCGTTTTTGACATCCAAATGTTATGTGTATAATCTTGTTAGTTACACCTAGGTGTTGAGTGTAACATGTTGTTCCTCAGAGCTAGGTGTTTTGTGTAGAGGGTGAACGAGTTAGAGACAAGATGGCAAGTAAGACTGCAGTAGAACAATATTCAGACTTATAAGTGTTTACAGCGTATAAGTGAATAATACCCAGATAATGGTAAGGAACTGTTTGTCACAATTATGAATTTAGAAAAGGCATATGATAGAGTGGATGGGGGAAGCAAAGTCGTAGATGTTGCAAATGTATGGAATGGGTAGTAGATTACTAAAAGCAGTAGTGGTTGTGTGGAGAGGCTCAGGTTAGGGTATGAAGAAGAGAGAGGGACTATTTTTTAGTAAAATTAGGCCTTAGACAAGGATGTGTAATGTCATCGTGGTTGTGTAACATAAAGATGGGGATGTAAAAGAAGCGAAGCAATAGTGATGGAGAGAAGGGATTAAAATATAATATGATTGCAAATTTAGGGTTGTCATCGTTGCTCTTTGCTGATGAGACAGTTCTTTTAGAAAATTCTGAAGACAAACTGAAAAGGGTGATGGACAAGTCTGGGAGTATATGCAAAAAAAAAAAAAAAGAGCAAGTTGACAAGAGTAACGAAAAATCTAGGTAATGAAAGACTGAAAATTATATTTGAGGTAGTGTGGAGGAAGCGAATGTATTCTGATATTTGGGAGTGAACATATCTAAGAAAGACGAGGGGCACCATAAAACAGACGAGGGGAAAAAGGTAGGTAGTGTGTTGAAATTTATTATGGAGGCAAAAAGGGAAAGGTACCAGAGAATAGGGACAATAACACTTTTATATGAGTGCGAGGTATGGTTTAAATATCGTATCAAGGACAAAGCTAGAGACAGTGATGTTATGTCTGAGAGCACTATGGGGTGTTAATATTAAGAAGAGAATTCGGAGCGTAGTACTTAGAAGAAAATGCAGAGTTACCAAGGGTATAATTCAGAAGGCAGATGTTTGTAGACGTGGACTGGTTATTTAGAGAGGATGGAGCAGAATTGGATGTACAAGGTGTATAATCCGGGGCGAAAGGAAGGTTGTGCCTGCCCCTTCCATACTGAGTGCTACCAGCTTGATTATCCAGCAATCTTGTATGACCTAGTTAGAACGGAAAGAAAACGAGTGATTTTT